GCAACGCCAATTAGTGACTTTAGCTATTATGATAAATGGGTTATAACTAAATCCAATTCTAAAGCCCATTTAACTTAACAGACTGAAACACACACATACTTGGTGTCACTTATCCAATTTATTAACCAACTATGTATATAAGGGGGCATGGCTGCACGGAACCTTACCTCATGTGATGAAAAAACAACATAGCTAATGCAATAAATAAATAATATTATTAAAATCTAACATCATGGCACCTCGAACTAAGTTGGGTGAATCATTCAAGGAAGAATACATTATTCGAGAACAATCTCGGTATAACATAAATAGAAAGTGTCATAGTCGCTACATTGCATGCACATGTAACATGAGTGAAACAACATGCATGCATAAAATCTAGGAAACAAGTTATGTGGATTATGATGCTCAGCGGTGTAAAACCAGTAGAGTGTATGTATATAAATGTGTGATAGAGGTCGAGTGAGACTCCGCTTCCATATAAGATGTGTTCAAACTTTTTCCGCCATGAAAAACTTCATACAAAGCCACAAAGTATATATGCCTCACTTTGAGAGTAAACATGGTCATGATAGTCGCAGTGATAAAACATCCATAATGATCTCTAATAATAGCATCAAAATAGAATGAAAGCCTTGATTTAAACGCAACAAAGTTTAACTTGATACTGATGTGCTTTGGTTCTAGTAATTTAGTATACTTTGGGAAGCTAGCACTTATAAGTTGTGCCTCAAATGGTGTAGCAATTTTCTGCAGTAAAATAACATTTGTTGAGCCCCAAACACCAAGATAACATGAAGAATTATATGTTGGACATGATAACTTAAGATGATACATTAGATCATTCACATGTTATATTACATTACATTTTCCTTCCAAATGACTACCCAAGGAGTACTCTAGATATAATCATTCGAAGAATGTGTCGAAAAGGACAACCACCATATAGACACCATATAAACCTCCAAAATAGATCTATATCCTTAAAACATAGGGGCATAAGGAGTTCGAGAATAGAGTATAGTAAACAAAGGCTATGTTGAAAATGTATGCTTTCAAATACATTGATCACTAATAAGTTGAGTATTCTACAACCCTTCCTCCCGATCATAGACTCTACGTATTCTCCTCCATATATGAGAATCAACTAGATTTATACCGCATGGACTGCCTACCTCCATATTTGATATTCAAAATTTGGTCCAAAGAGAATCTTGAGTCTTGAAACACCACAAAACTTAGAGAGAACATATGTTGAATATTCTCCACAGATGTGATTTCAATATTGTACCCCCAAATTCTTTAGGATTACACATCCACTTCATGCTTGTGTAATAGTAATTCTTGTACTAGTCATGAGATCCCCCCCCCCCAAAGAGGCTCGGTCTCTTAATCTCAATAATCTTTAAGGGTGCGTTTGGGAGTTGAGTTTTGGAGGGGAGGAGAAGGTTTATGAGGGTTTATGACCCTCGTTTTCATGTTTGGGAGTTTAAGAAATTGAAGGAGATAGCTTTGAAGGGCTTTCTTAACCCTCCAAAACCCTCTAAGTGCTCAATTATAAGTCCCACCAATTTGGAAGGTCTTGAAGGGTAACTAATGAAATGATAATTTAAGATTTATTTAAAATGAATATGAACTAAATTATTTGAATTTGTCAGTGATTTTAATTATAATTCCTTCAAGGTTAGTTTACTTCTTTTTATTCTTAGTTTTTTCAGAGCCACCAATATAATTGTAGGAAGCTTGAATGATGTGATGAGATTGGCCAATTCTCCGGCCATCCACAATTTTCTCAGCTATCCATGGTCTTAGTTGGAGTACATATTATCCGGCGTGCTATTACCTTTATCCGAAATTGTTAATCTATTCGACTCATAACTTGTTCTTAGTCAAAAGTAATACTTTATATGAGTTTTCTACACTATAAACGTGTAAAACATCCCCTTAAATTCATCATATGATTAATATAAAATCATACCAAAGAGTTCACATACCTACAAGAAAGATCAGGAATACCGTACATGTTACCTTCGTATCCCGCCTTTTTTCTTTGGATTCACTTCTTCTTTTCTTCTTCCTTATTTGTATGAGCTCTTGGCTAACCTCCTCTCTCACTGATATGCACTAATTAGTAGTGCATAAGTGTATGTTTTTATGTTTGATTTGTGTGGATTGTTTACCGTTTTATTTAGTTTGTAAACATTTGTGTGATTTTAGTTGTAATTGTATTTTAATCTTCATTTGTAAGTTGTAAAGTAGAGTTAGGAATTAGGGTGTTGAAAAGGAGGACTTTGAAGTGAAGAAAAAGGTGATAAGTGTGCCCAGGAGCACAAACCCGGTCGGGTCAGACCATGCACCCGGTCGGGTCTGATGTAAAATCCGAAACTGCCTGGAAAATCATCAGACCCGGTCGGGTCCCCTACTTGACCCGGTCGGGTCAGACTTGACCCGGGACACCAGAACGTGCCGAAGATCGCCAGAACGTGGAGGATATCTGATTTTGACCGGACCCGGTCGGGTAAGCACCTAACCCGGTCGGGTACCCGGCCCAAGGTGTTGAAAAACACCTATAAATAGCCCCATTTTCCTTCACAAAGAAGAATCCCTTCTTCCATACTCTTAAGCTCAACTTAGAATAGTATTTCTTTTATATTTTTTTAGCATGTTTAGTCTCCAAATGAGGAGCTAAACTTCCATTTCTTGGTGTTGCTCTTGAAGCTTGTTGATTATTAAAGTTGTGAGTTATTTTCTTAACTTCTTCCCTTGAATATTAATTATTCTCTTAATCTATCTATATATTAATGTTGGGGAGTGTTGCTAAGATGACAATTAGTTAACATCTCGACATTAATTATGGTAGTATTTATTTTCTTCCTCTATATATTAATGTTGGGGAGTGTTGCTAAGATGACAATTAGATAACATCTTGACATTAGTTATAGTAGGATTATTCATATTTAATCTTCTTCCTTGAATATTAATTCTTCCCTTAATCTATCTCTATATTAATGTTGGGGAGTGTTGCTAAGATGACAATTAGTTAATATCTCGACATTAATTACTACTAGAAACGATCAACGAACCGATGGTTAATCGTTGATTGCTTCACAAGTAAGTAACTTCGGTTTATTAATGCACGGTCGTGGTTAATAAACTTAAGAGGGATTAATTTTGTTGGTTAAACCGAAACCGTTGTGTTGAGGTTATCAATCTCAATTGATTTCATCAAGGAGTTAAGAGATTAAATGCTACTATTAAGTCGGTATATGGCGGTGTTCTATACTTGACTAATAGTAAGGGTTATTAATGAACGGTCGTTGTTAATAGCTACCCTCGATGAATTGGATATACTCCTCGATTGAGTATTCGAGAGGGAATAAGTTATAGATATAACAATGATCGACTAAAATATATCAACAAGTGAAAAGTAGCAATGCCAAGTCCTTTTTATCTTTAAATTAAGTTGTTCATCTTTATGTTTAATTAAGTTAAATCATTCAATCCCAAAACCCCCCTTTTTATTTACTAGTTTTATAAAAAGAGAATTATTCCTTTCCCTGTGGATACGAACTCTACTACGCTATACTACGTATAAGTGTAGTATTGAATTTATTTTGAGTGCACTCACGACAAAGTGCACGTCACTCACTCTTTAGTTAATGCATATGACATTAAATGGGAGGAGGTAGGGACGGAGTCAGGGCGCTAGGCCGGACGATGCATAGACCAAGCCCAGGACGGGCCAGGCTACGGACCGGGATTGGGGCGGGACTGGGTTTTGGGATGAAGGCTGGGTACCGGTGGGTTGGGTCTAGTTTTTTTCTAAAATTTAATTTTTCTGATTTATTCGTATCCCCCACCCCACCCCAAACCCCCCCAAACCACCCACCCACCTGGCAACCAATCCATGTGAAAAAAGGGCCCAGACCGGTCTCGAAGCAGCCGGCCCAGTCCACCAAATAAGCATCCGTAGCCCGCCCCTAAGACCCTCAGTTCGGGCCTCCAGTCCCGATCCCAGACGGCGGGTCCGGTCCGGTCCCGCATAGTAACGGGCCAGACCGGGTATCGCGTTGGGCCGAACTGGCCCAGTCCATCCCTAGGCCGGGCTGTGCTGGTACAAAGAATGTTTTTGAAAAAAAAAATACATGAAATTTTTTACACTAAAAATACACATGTTTTTTTAAATTTGGGCTGGACCGAGATCAGGGTTGGCCCCTCTCTAACTACGCCCATGGGAGGAGGATAACACTCCCCTTCTTATCCTTCTATTTTATGAAAGTTGGGCCAATTGGAGAGAGCTTCCCACTCTCCTTTATATTTTTGGCCCAAATTTCTATACTGTCTCTTACTCATCAGTTTGGGCTTAAGCGATAGATAAGGTAGCCCAAAAGAATATTGGTTAATACACCCTAATATTTGGTTCACTCAATTTAACTCATCACTTATTAATTAAATATATTAATCATTCCTAGTGTGATTTATATAAATAGTCTCACACGCTAAACTTGCGTAAAAATTCATCTGATTTTTTTGTGTACCTGTTTGGTACTTTGGCCCAATATATTCATCTAAATTTACATGCAGGCATGATCTCTGCCTCTCTGGTGTGGCATATATGCATTATGACAATAACAACAACAATATCTCGTTTCTAGTAAATATGTTGCAAACGAAACTGATGGGGTAAATGTTTCTCTTCTTATTATTAAAGGAGTAGACAAAGAGTGATGAGTCATATGACAAAGTGTAACCTTAAACATTTATAATGTTCTAGGAGTAGAGGACAAAGTGAAGCCTTAAGCATCTGTAAAGTTGACAAAACTAGGCATGCCTTAAGAGACATTTCAAGTTCATTATCATTTCTTCACCTACCTACTAAGCAGAGCGTTTCCCTCGCCGCAAATCACGTATACACTAAGGCCTAGGCAACACATTTTGTCGCCTTTTTGAACACTGTATGATACTATGATCGGGTAAGAAGATCATGTGTTTGATAAAATCCTATGAACATTGTTTATGATCGGGTAAGAAGCTCATTCTTGCAGCAATACCGTTGTGATTGACCAAAAGAACAGAATATATATGTGTTTAAATACATCTCAGACAAGGTTATAGAAGCAAACAAAACGATGTTTAAAAAGAAAAAGAAAAAAAACAAAACGATGTTTAACATATTGTTACAACTACACCCTTTATCCATTTCCCACAAAGTAAATAATAAAAACAAAAACTTGTTCTAATAATGGGAAAATAAGAACACCATTACAAACTAACCGCTTAGAGACAAACAGAATCACTACACAAGAAAAGGCACAGTGCACTCTTCATTTATCCCAGCAGCTCTGAGAAGCTTAGTTTGAACAAAGTTGAAACATCATTAACCTCTACAAAACACTACTCTTCAGTCAACTGCACATTCAGACTGTTCTTCACGCCTCGACACCTATTCATCTCTGGCCTGTGCACTTTTCTTCAACCATAGTTTTGGTGATCCATTAGATTATATTCAAGGAACATATTATTAAGAATAAATCAATGATGTACAAGTCACACATCTGGAAATAAAGTTATTCTTTAATGTTGATTAACGAACCACCGACACAGTGTCTAAACTATGGCTACACGAGGGGATTCATTGAAGGCCACCTTAAGGTTTTGTGTAATTGGACATGGATGATGGAAACAATAACTTTTGTAATTCTCATGTTATGCACACAGATTATAAAAGTTGGTTAAAAAAGATTACAATATTGATCCATCCCTTTCGCAGTAATGTCATTTTGGGAAACCCAGAAGTTATACTTTTGCAAAGTAAACATTACTTTAGTTCTTTTCCTAACTCTCTTTCCTAAAGTAATTAGCTCTATTTATTTGATCTCTAAATTGTAGAGGTAGTATGCGTTATTTACTACCAGGGATAGTCATTCTCTAATTATGTCCTATAGCTCCTTTTGCTTTTAAAAAAAGAATAACATGAAAGAAAGACGTTTTTTCTGTGAAAAGCAAAAGAAACAAGAATATATCAATATACTATTATACTACTCAGTTACTAGCTCCATACCTTTTCATGATTGAGCGTAAGATGCCGAATCTCTTCAAGCTGACATGCTATATCATCCAGAAGCTTAAACTGGGCCTTCTCCTGTGGGCAACTACTCTCCATTGATCGGATGAACTTGTCACCCCCTTCTTTAATAGTCTCTAACATTTCCTCATGCCATTCATCTCCGTCGACATGTTTTAGCTTTTCATAATCAGCTACAACCATGAGATATATTTGTTTAAAAAATTATGAAAGATATGAGTACTAAAAAGCATGACACTTCAGTTAAGCTATTTATTTTTAGTCAACTTCATGATTACAAATTTTGTATGACTACTTATATCTCAAGCCTGTATCCAATATTGTTTGGAGTAATTGACTAACATCACTTGTCACTTTCCTTTACAGAAATTTTACTTAAAATGCAATTTGACTTTTACACTCAGTTTGGGTAGAGTGAGCTTAAATAAACTTGATAAACTTAAGTGAACACAGGTTTCGTAAAAAATGGGTGAACTGTTAGAAACCTGTAGATTATCTAACAGAATTACAGTACAGGATCTTAGAACTCAAAGGCAACTTCTTATTCAAGAAAGGTAACAATGGCCGAAGGCCTTAGGCAACAATTCTTAGCGTACAGTTTACAAATCCATCATAATCCCCTCTTTCTTACCCGCTTTCTTCTATTTATAGACCTCCAGCCCACTAGCTATAGTCATTATCTAATAACCCAAAACAATTATTACAAACTTATTCTATTTATTAATGTTCTATGTAGGTCCCTAACATGAACCTACATGAACTCAGATGTATAAACAAAAATATTGTCTAGACAATTATTAGAGTAACCAAGGTGAATGAAGTAAAGTTTGTTTAAAATTTTAAATGAAGGTTAAACTAGGTTAAAATATTTATATTACTTAAAAGAGAACATAACATCCGAAAACCTCTAATTCCAAGGTTCTCCAAAATAAGGTTTTTGGAGTTTTTCGGAGGCTTTTCGAGATGAACTTAGGTTCCACAAGAACTAGGTTTCTGTCATAAAATGTTAAAAAATGAGTTGAACCCGTATTAAACCTACAAGAACATAAGTTCAACTCTAAACAAATGGACCATTAAAAACACTCTTTTTCAGGACAAAAAGATTTTCGAAATATGACTTTTTGAGAAAGATGGAGCATGTTAAAAGAAAAGAAAAAATTAAAAATAAACATTTCATGTACAGCTATTACAACAAAAGGTAAAACATAGGATCCCCAAGGTGTAGTAGGTGGTATATAATCTTACTCTTGGTGCATAAGTTGGATCCATCCACATGAACATCATAAACAGGATGCTCTTCTTCATCATCAGAGCTAATTGATTTTGGCAAGCACTCAATTTCCTTGGATGGGTCTTCATTGTAATTACCAGAAAAACATTTTTCTTCAAGATAAATCACCATTTGTCTGTATGCTTCAACTTCCTTTTCCAGAAAGAGCTTTTCTGTTTCCCTCCTGACCAAGATCTCTTTTAGAATAGCCATTTCATCTTCTTCATAAGCTGTTTTTTCCTCAATTACCCTCTGATATTGCCTGGCTTCCATTTCTATGAAGGCCTTCTCCTCTTGCAGTCGGGAGATCATGGCCATAGCCTCCTCAGCAGCAGAAGCAGCAGCACTCCTCTCCTTCTCAAGGTCAACGTAAAGGGCAGACCGGGCGATTTTCTCATCTTCAAGTGCTTCTTCCAACAGTCTTATTACGGAACTTTTGTCATTAATGACCAAGATTTGGTCCACATGGCCATTCACCTCTTCGCTAGATGAATCTGTATCATTAGGAAGTGGATTTTCATCCAGTTTGTAGCTGTCTCCTTCTCCATATCCTGTTTCAATGGAAGCACGGATGAGAGATTGATCTGATTTCACAAGAGTTATAGTTTTAAATTAACAGAAATTTTATGGGGTCCAATATGACTCCTCCATGGAATCATATGACTTGACTTGGCCTCATTTTGATGAGTCATTTTTAAAGTAAAGTCATAATCGATAACCTTGATATGAAGTAAGTGGCCATCCCGTAATGGTGATGTCACATTAGTCAGATGACTACTTAGTGGAGTCATACGGGACTCCATAAGATTACTCTTCATATGAACGGCGAATAGCAGCTTGAGGCACTAAGTTTGGTGAAGAGACACTAAAATATATTGCATATAACCTTAACCATAGAGCCTCTGAATTGGGTAGTAATGAACATGAGTCAAACCACACTTAAAATTTGAATAAAACCAATTAGTTAGTTTAACATACTACGTAAGACTTTTAAACTCATGTAACTCTGTTAAGAAAAAGCAGTGTTTGTTCAAAACACATTGGAATAAGTTTCCCTAAGCCCAAAGGTAAACTTGAAATCAGCACCATTTTGGCATTGACAATAATATAGTAGGCACTTGGTAGATGTAGATCAGTAGATACCTTAGGTGGTAACGCCTTATGGATGCCACTAGGCACACCTTTCCATCATTTGCAATGGAGCCAAAGATTCATTACTTTTTGGCTTGAAAATATGATGGAATAAAGCAAAATGACTCACCAAACTGTCTTTGTTATGAAGCAGTAGTCAGTCCATGCAATTTTGGACTCGATTTTCACTATGGGTCATCCGGAAACAGTCTCTCTGTGCTTTAGTACAGAGGTAAGACTGCGTACATCCGACCCCCCCTTACCCCACCGTAGGTGGGAGCCTTTGCGGCACTGGGGTAAATGAAAAAATGAAAATGAGTGGTTCTATTCTAAAGGAGCCAATGTGACATATAGAGTAAACAGACATCTAATATTTGAAAACTCTATACTTGCTACTTGCTAGAGTGAGTCTGTGAGATGCCTTAACAAACACTCTGACTGTTTTTGGGCTTTTTATAGAAATTAATAAAAAGGGAAAACTTAAAAGTCACTTCATTCGAGTGTTCTACAATTGGGTGGACTAGATTGCACTTCCTTGGTGCTCTACTCTTCGCAAAACATTTTAGCTGAAAGAAATATATTGTGCAATTGTTAATGGTAGATAGCTTAGGTACATACATTCTTCCCAAGCCTATGGAAGCATGAAAAAGCAATGGGATGGTAGAATAAATCTGTACAAGTGAATAATTCAGCAGTGCTAAGGTACAAACTTTTATCAAGGAAAAAGAAAACTCACCCTTAGAGCAGGAATCAGTTCCACTCAAGTTATTACATTTAGAATACTCATTCATTCTAAGTCCGCCTCCCATTTCATCCCCAAACTTACTCACCGCTGTGAGTACTACTACTCTATCAGATTTGCTAGAGTTTCTTGTTACAGCTGAAACAGAACTAGATGAAGCCTCACCTTCCCTCTCAACATCTTCCCTTTCATCAATCAATGGGTCATTGACCTCTAGGGCACAAAGTTTGAGTTTTGACACTTTCTCGCCGGCAAAATTCATCAAGAATTTGTGCAATTTGAAAATAACATCTGGGGAAATGCCAAACAAGCTTAACCCACAAAACCCCAGAAAGTTCACTGTCAAGAAAGCCATTGTTGATGCAGATAAAGAGAAAAATGCAACACCCAGATCAAAATAAGCACACACTAAGCTGCCCAGAGTCCACTTGTAGCCTGCTCCACATTCCATCTCTTTTCCAACAGATTTTCTGCCTTTTGAACTAAGCATGTAATCTTCTTTAAACTAAACAAGAAACTGGTCCTTCTATAGCAGAATAAATAAATTTTGGAAGGGGCATAGGGAATAAGAAATAAAAATCGAAACTTTACTGCAATAATAGAATATATCCTGGGTTTCCTTGATCCCTAACCAATCCTGTAGAAAAAGAAGAAAGAAGCAGAAGATGGGTTCTGCAAATGATGAGCTACTCAAAGTCAAAAATAGAGGTTATTGGATAATTTATGTTTTTACTAAATATGTCAAATTTCCAAACAATATTTTCCTTATATTTTCCACGGGAAAAGCATGGATTTAATTTGTTCCCTTCGCGCAGAAAGTTGAGGCAAATTATATCCTATCCAATTCTTTTTTAACTTTGGGACAAAAATTATGTTTGCCGAAAAAGCTGAAAAATTAATTTTGTTTGTTTTATTTAATTATAAAATGGACAAACTTCATAATTGAACCCAATAAACGACAAACAGAGAGACGAAGGATAATGGACGAGCGGACGATGTGGAAGTGTACGTGCTTACTTCCTTGAGTTCCGTCGCGCTGAGTTGGCATAGGTGGCAAAGTGGTAAAGGGTCACATAGGCCCTTGAATTGGAAGTGTTCGATTAGCCCTTTATATAATAGATTTTGCCCGGCCATCGTTAATTGGAGCGGTTCCCGGTGGAATTTTTTGGTGAAAATTTTTGAGCCCCTTATTCATTAAGTCTAGTTTACTCATACCAAATTTCAGCTAAAAATTCAACCGAGAAGGCAGTCAAATGTTTTTTTGAAGATAATTGCGAAGTTAAACAGTACAGTACATTTCGTAAAATCATTTGACTGTCTTCCCCGTTGAATGTTTAGCAGATATTTGGTATGGGTAAACTAGACTTAATGAAGAAGATGCTTAAAAAATTTCATCAAAAAATTCCACCGGGAACCGTCCCAATTAGAGACGGCCGGACATAATCTCCTATATAAGAGATTAATTGAACATTTTAAATCAGTTCAAAGGCCTATTTGACCCTTTAGCCATTCAAGAATTTTCGTAGTTGTGAGGCTAATTTACCTTTGTCTTCTGGGTGACAATTCCGTGTATGCATCTTAAAAAAAATAGAATATCTTATCTTTGATTCATTGATGGATCGAAATCATTATATTAATTTTAATTTAGATTTAAATAATTACATTATTTTGATTGGTCCAGACATTTGTATGGTATTTAACATAGAATCTAATTTGTCTTTATTAAAATAAAATTCACATTACATTCCCGTCATTTTTTATCAAGTTTGGTGTAACAAATAATAAAATTAAAATTTAAAATTGTGTGATTGATTTTTATACACATGAAAAAAATTATAAGAATCACAAATTAATTAATTAAAAAGGACATTGATAAAGATTTGAGACTATCAAAAAGCGAAAGAACGCAAAATTATACGGAGTACTTCATTTATCTTTTAAAACTTGACCATTTTTTTCCAGCTTATTAACTAATAAGTATAAATTGTATGGTTGAAGTTTGTGTAAAGCAGAGAGAATTAAATGAAACTACAAATTCTTTATTCAAAACGGAAAGAAGCAAAGTCAGTGAGACAACCAAAAAGTAAAAGTTAGCAAAGTTTTTACTATGTTTAAAGAACCGAACTTGACGGTTTGACCCGGAACGAGCGACCTGTATCACAGTCCCGTCCCGTCCAGTCACCGACCAACCCGTAAATACGTTGAAAACCGGAAATAACCGGTGGCTCGTACAGACCCAGTCCGGAAACGAACCGTTCAAAGTCCGAAAAAGAGTAAAAAAACCAGGACCTAAGGAAGTTTTTGTTACTGTTGGTCTGTTGCTAATCGATTCTTGATTCTAGAAATACAACGCGCGTATTCCATTGTACTGATTTGAGTTGTTTGCTGACCTCTCTCTTTGACTTGTATTTTACCTTTGCATTAATAAATAAAGAGATTGTTTGAATTAAGAAGTTTTGCTAGTTCTTGCTTCCCAAAAATCACAATCAAAATGATTACAAATGTTATGCCTATAATAGTATAAATAAATACTAATATAATATTTCTAATTTTTTAATAAATGTTACTATGTATATTCATATATTCTATTTATCTAATGTCAAATAGATTTAAAATTTTGTTAAAAAATACTACTCCATCTGTTCCACTTTAAGGTTCCCACACGATTTACGATGTTTGACTGACCATAAAGTTAATTGATCCTTGTCATCAGTAGAATTATTTTTAGTAAATAAAATTTACATATTCAGAAACTACATTAAAACCGCTACAAAACCTACAGAAAATAATTTAAATTTCATAAACTTTCGATATATAAAGTAAGAGACTAAGAACAATGCACGTTGACCGGAGAATAGTGTACGAGAACCTTTAAATGGGACGGAGGGAGTAGTATAAATTTTGAACAATAATTTGATTTTTATATTTATCGTGAATCATCAAAATTAAATTATGTGAAATGATTTTCCTTTTATAAATTTTATTTGATATATAATTATATACTTCATATAATTTATGTTTTAATTTTTTGTAAATATTGACCGGTTTTCTCGGAGTTGACCGGATTGACCCGTCGGGTCCGAATTGACCCGTGACCCAGTCACTGGACGGGTCTCTTACCAATCCGGTCCTTTAAACATAGAGCTTTTAAATGAAAGTTTTAAATGAAGGTAAAAGAAAGATATGATAAAGAAACAAAGATATGCGTTAAAAATGAAAAGAAAAATGCGTAGTGTACACAAAATGTGTACACTTGTCTATCTCCCGCAGACAAGTTGTCTGTCACAGACAATTCATTATGAGTTGTCTGTGACAGACAAATTTTCTCCGAAGGACAGACATGTGTACACATTTTGAAATAGAAGTGTCAAGACTCAAGAAGCCAACATATGGCAAGAAGTGATGCTGGTGGGCTATCACAGACCTGAAGTGTACATTTTTGTTTAACTACAAGTACTTGGACATAATAGAACAAATAATTTAAAAAAAAAAGTTAGAGAGAGAGAGGAATGCTCAGGTCCATCTGGAGGGACGGGAGGCTCCGTCTGAACTTTACTGTTTGAGGCGGTTCCCGGTGGAATTTTTTGATGAAATTTTTTGAGCACGTTCCTCATCAAGTGTAGTTTATCCATACCGAATTTTAGCTCAAAATTTGATCGGGAAAACATTCAAATAAATTCTTGAAACATACTGCACATTATATATGCCACACACGGCTTATTGAGAGATATATTTCCCGAAGCGAAAGAAACCACCGGTACTAACTTGAGCACGCGATCAGAATGATGCCCTAATCGTCAATGCCACAAATCAAAATTGCCAAATCGGACGAAGTAATCAACTGAATGTGTGGAATGCTACGATAGTAATAGAGTCCGTCCCGACGCTCACCGGCTCTAATCAGGTTCCCCGAGAGTTGGTCCTGTATAACACACTTCCGTCCCTGTCTCGTAGACCATCAGTAATATTGGAACAGTCTTCGTTGAGTATCGCTCTGATGAATCTTCGATGAGTTTTTACTCCCGGTGTTCGTCGAGCGTTACTCTGGTTCGTGGCTCCGGAAGACTCCTTCAAGATGTGCCTCGATTGGCCTTCGATTGGTGTGTTTGATCTTTTCTCCAATTAAGGTTTGTTCCAATTCGATCTTTTCTTAGTTGGGGGTGGTGGGCCAGCAGCACATAGTTCATTAGTTTGGACTTTGGATGTATTCCTCCTACTTTTAAGAAAAGCAATTTGGGCACCCCTTTTTGTTAGCTCGTAAGTTTCCGCTCTCTAGATGTAACAGTTTCACTTGATTGCCTTTTCCTTTAAGCCATCAAACACTTTTTTGTATTTTTATGTTGATCTATAAAGCACATTCTTCTTACTTTATTATTGTTTTTCAAAGTTACTTTTATTATTGTTAATTACATTTGCTGAAGGATATTGTGTTTCATTAACTTTAAATGTCGTTGCACTCCAATATTATCATTTAAAATCATGTAACACTCACCCCGCCCGCCTGACCAATTCGTTATGGATGCCGCCGCCTTTTATAATTTAATAAAGTTTCCCAAGTAAATTAGAAACTATTAAGATAGAAAATCAAAGTCTATCTTCCATTTTTTAAAAGTTATTCAGTAGCTATCAAATTAAAATCTATCTTTGATTTACAAGTTTGGAATGTACTGACACATTTAAAGTCTCACAATGACAAATCAGGGAAGTAATTACTTTATTTAAGAAATGAAAATATGACTGTCTATTTTAGAATTCACAAACATTTTTATTCATATTTAATTTAATGCAAATATAAATAAATAAATCTTGATCGGATAGAGACAATGACCAAGCGGGGATAATATATATTGGGACTGAAAGGTGAACCAGAACTGGCTTAATAGAACCAACTTGAAACGTGCCATGTACCTAGATATATTGTTCTCTTTTAAATGCAACATTAGACTTTTGCACTATTCGTATGCTTTACTTTGACTCTATCTATTTTATTTATTAATGTATTATAAATTAAATTAAAATATATATTTTTAAATTCCTCTCATTTTCAATTTTCAAAATCTATTTTTTTTTTAATTTTTTACTAATAAGAGATGAAAGATATTAATTGTCAAATTTATGCATTGACAAATATGAAAAGTGGACTGCCGGCAAACTAACTAACATACGGAGAGTATCTGTGAAATTCAATACTCCGTATATTTTTTTTGAATGTCAAATTAAATAATTTTTAAATATGGAGTTTGCTGAAATTTTATATATGTCAAGATCTATATTCTAGAATTTTAGGGATATTAGTCTTAACCAACAACACTAATTACATAGACTATACCAGATTTAATCAACCAGGTTTTGTCAATATTAACACAGAACATATATTTTTCAAATCAGATCAAATATAAACCTATTAGATCATACTACCTCCGTTCTCTTTTAATTGCAACATCAGACTTTTTCTACTATTCACATATTCTACTTTGACTATATTTTATTAATTAATGCATTACAAATTAAATTTTTAAAAAATATTGTTAAATTCTTCTCATTCTAAATTTTCAAAATATGAATTTTTTAAATTTTTTACTAATAAGGAATGAAAAATATTAATGGTCAAACTTGTGTGTTGGCAAACGTGAAATGTTGACTGTTACAATTAAAAAGGAACGGAGGAAGTACTAGATTAGGCTTTAATTTAATATAGTCCAATTAAAATCATCTTAAAATCAAGTGATGATATTTATATATTTATCTCGTTTTTAACGTTATGAAGACAGTTAATGAAAGGATTCCCACGTGATAGGCGTATAAACGGTATAATTAGAATGGCGGGAACAGTTAGATTTACGTCGTATACGCACGTGGAAACTGAGTGGGGATAGGGACGACAATAACCGTCGATAGCCAGTTCTACACAAGGAAGACGCCCCTTCCCTTACAAACTTTTTCTTCCTCGACCCTATAACAGAGAAATTGAGTAAAAACTAGTTTAAGGATGATAAAGCAAGGCAATCACGATTTCTTCAATGGTAATGGTGCTGGCAGCCATATCTCTGCCACCGACCAACAGAAACCGCTTCCTCCCATATATAAGAAGCGAAGAAGAAGCAGAACGATGATGGAGGAAAGTCAGCAGTCTTCATCTTCCGTGGTCCCTACTAGCAGCGCCTCCGACAGAATGCCGCAGTGCACGGAGTGCGGGAAGAGGTTCTGTTCATGGAAGGCCCTGTTTGGACACATGCGCTGCCATCCGGAGAGGCAGTGGCGTGGCATCAACCCTCCGCCGAATTTCGCCAGACCGCCACCCGTCGCCTTTTCATCTCCTCCGAGCCGCCGCAGGTTCTGCTGGGGAGGAGATGGTCATGATGATGATGATGATTTTGAGGTGGCAGGCTGCCTGCTAATGCTTGCAAATGCTGGCGAGAGTCCGCAACATCAGCAGCAGCAGCAGGCAGCGCTTAGGATGGATGACGAAATATCCGTGGCAGTCGCGCCATTTGAATGCTCGGGTTGTAATGATAATAGTAGTAGTAGTTATTATAATAATAAAGCAGGGGGAGCAGCAGCAGGAGCAGGAGCGCTGTTCATGGCGGGCGTGAGGGAGGAGGAAGAGCGGCACAGGTGCGCCATCTGTTTGAAGGCCTTCTCGAGCGGTCAAGCGCTTGGCGGGCACAAGAGGCGCCATTGGCTCAACAAGATTCCTCCTCCTCCTCTTCCACTGCTACTTAAGAGTAGCTTTGGCCCTGACCAAGGCCATCCTCATCCCAATCCAGGCACCGGGGCTTACTCGGATTTGAACTTTCCTGCAGCACAAGATCATCATTCTTCATCACTGCCTGATGTTTACAACTCTTCTACCTATGGCCTGCCTAATTTGGATTTAAGATTGGCTCTCTAAGCACCGGTTAAGTTACACGGTGTTGAATCTATACTATATGTTACCTCATTGTTAGTTAGTTCATGTATTTTTAGTCTAGTAATTAGCTAGTTACAGTGCCTGGTGCTATTGCTGGCCTGATTTCTATTAATCGTACTGATATACTTCTATTATTAACAACTGTTGTATTGTTATTACTCCTACATTTAGTATTAATAATTCTAATCAGATTATAGTTCGGCTGGCACATATATAGATTAATAGATACACTTGTATCTGTTATTACATGTTAACCTGCATATTGTTTGTCAATTCAAACATGTTTTGATGTCTACCTATATCATTTGAACTTCAAAAGTACATAGGCGTAAAAAAATCAAAGCAAATTCTTCAGTGGGATAGTTTTCAGCCGAGATATTCATGTCTATTGCTATAAGAAAAATAAAAAAGAACAAATATGAAGTGTTCCAAACTTCCAATCAAGTATTTAGGGGTTTTTCTTCATCAAGGGATTAACAGCTTCAGATTCTGTAAGGTTCTTATTTGCTCCTTTCACAGGAAGTTATCAGTTTGGAAACAAAAGTTACTTTCCCAGAGTGGTAGACTTATTTTAATTAAACATGTCCTCTCTTCTATTCATGTTTGCGTTCTTCATCCATTCATTCACTTTCTGATTTTGTGTTTTTGTTGGACTGTATGAACATGAAGTGTATTTGACACACATTTTCTGCATTTCCGAAATGTTTCACCTGTTGTAAAATCAAAGCTTCAGTGCATCCGTCTTGTTGTTCAGTTTTTGTACTTACGTATATCTGATAATTGTGGGAGTGGTTACATTTTTAAAAACATTTTGTGGACAAAGCTATCATTCTTCCTTTTACATCTCATTTTTAAAATTGCATATATATCTAAGTTTACATCACCGCTAGATAAATGGAGATTGGATCTCTTTTATTAGCTTTTCTGTACATCGGCTAATCCTTACTTTTATTTGATTCAAACTGTTATTTGTCTGTTATTTGTCTTACGAGGTTGGGATTTATAGTGGTATGTATATTATATAACATGGGAAATCTTTATAAAAAGGTATATATGCATCATCATATTTTAAAAGGTATACACTAAACTATATATACACATCTTAAAACATGTCTACTAGTCTGAACTATAGACCCATTTACGCCTCATATCCTAAATTTTGAGCTTTGTTGTTTAAAAATGTTTTCACTTTGATTTTTAATTCAAAGCTTTTATTAGTTAATTTTTTGATTGATTTCAGTACATACACATATACTATTTTGAAAGCTGTATATCTAATCCCTAACAGCTATACACACAGACATATACACACCCACACACACAAACATATGCTTAATTTCTATTTTATTGCCTAGATAAATTAGGTTCTGCATTCAAAGGCTTGTTTAGATAAATGTATTTGATTCACCCACCTATAAATTTGATTGCGTTCATCTGTTCATCTACCTCATTTCAATATTCATTTAATTTGATTCATTACATTACATAACCAACCATGTCTGATTAATTTAATTTGATTCAAAACTGTTGAAATCATTTCCTGCATAATGTTCTTCACACATTCTTTATTTGCTTGTTCTGTTTATATGAATTTGCGTAATCCTTTTTTTATTTATTTCATGCAAATAAAAATGGTGGGATTTGTATTACACAAATATGTTCGACTTGTTTTACATGTTTTAGTTCACAATGTTGTTTTACTTGTTGATTTTAGTGATTCCGTTTTGAATTTATTCTCTCTCAAAATTCATTGAAACAATTGACAATGTTGTTTTACTTCAATTACTTGTTTGAATCTGAAATATTTTCCTATAATATCCCTTGCCTTTTTCTGATATCCCTATGAAGTTTACTTATGTACATAAACAAATGAAATATAAGAAATACCTGGAATCTTCTGTATGTGAGGATCAGCGTGCCACGTATTATCCCTAATCAATTTATTAAGTTGTTGCACTTTTTAAGAAACGGTCATGAGTTATGCTTAGAACTTTTATAGTTTGTGATGCAATTAATTTGTTACTAAAAATATTATGAATTTAAAATCCAATGAAGCAGACATCTGCTGATCAGTAGAGCTCTACAACAATGTTAGGGAAGCCGAGTGTAACCAGGAAAGATGAAGTTGTGACCAGAGAGTACACCATCAATCTCCACAAATGTTGGGAAAAACTCCGGACTTTCCCGTTTCGTGAAGTTAAGATAGACACTTATAAAATTATAAAATTATAAGATAGGCACTACGATAGGCGCTTCAAAATATTTTCATAAAAGTATAAAATTTATAAATTATATACTAATATAATAATTGAAATCATTGTCTAAAGTTAGCAACCATTGACCAAGAAAAATCAATTTGACGAACCTTTTCGGGATGGAGGTAGTACTTTATATATCAAATTTTTATCTATTTTAAGTTTTCATTATCAGGCTTTGTAGCGGTTTTAATGTAGTTTCTGAATATGCAAATTTTATTTACTAAAAATAATTTGAGTTTGAACAGGGATAGATCGAGTTGCTTTATCATCAGTCAAGCATCATAAACTGAACGGGAAGCTGTTTCAGGGACGGAGGTAGTACGTAGGACGGAGTATAAATTAATAAATGCTTAAATGTACCATATAGAAATAGTGGTTTTAGGGTGTGTTTTTTTACTAAAATTTTCTGGTCTAATCTGATCTTATTTTGACCGGTCTGTTTAATTATAGTATGGTCTAATTTGAACTAGTCTGGTGTGGTCTGGTAAAGTTTGATCTTTATGTATTTTAGAATTGTTCAAGTTTGGTCTGATCTGGTCTTTTTAAGTCTGGTCTAATCTGATGTGATCTGTTTAAGTCTGGTCTAATCTGGTCTCGCCTGAGACAAAAAACAATCCACATAAAAAAACTCAACCCCATCGGATCTGACCCATCTATAATACTACGTAAAATATAAACAAAATAAATCACATAAAATTGAATCAGATAAATTTTATCTGATAAAAAATCATCAAAATTGTCAAATTTACACTATACAAAAGAATAGTAGGATTTACAAGAATGTTACAAAGTTGTCTCACTCAATGATGACTCACTCAAGCTTGAGGATGATGTCTTCCCAAGCTATCTCTCTTCTCTTTCAAAGAGGCTTTCTAACTTTCTCACTCTAGAAGTGGATTCACTCTTGGCTAGAATGGTTAGGAATGAAACTCCTACCCCTATTTATACTACTTCACCTTCACAATGAATGGTGAGGATGATTTCTATCCAAGGGTGGAGATTGATTCTCTAGAATGTTCCACACACTCTAGGAGTCTCTATACTCTTCCACTCTCTTCCATATCCTTCCATACTCTTCCCTAAGCTTCCGGAAGGTTCCACACATCTCTAGAATATTCTAGAGGATTCCACACTATTCCACATACTTCTAGAGAGTTCTAGACTTCTCTAGGATTCTCCGGAACTTTGTAGAAAATTCTATACTTCTCTAGAAAGCTCTAGAATTTTCTAGAACCACTCCAATTAAGGAGGGATCCCAACAACAAACGTTTGCATGGATACTCTCTTTCTATACTTGATTGTAGTTTGAATATCTTGTTGCATAATCTGTTGCATAGAACTTAATTACTAACTATCGGTTTGTATCCTTCAATTAGGATTATCCACCATAAGTCTAAAAGTAGTAGTTTTTTCAATTTTCATAGTTACATGCATGTGGCTTGAAAATTGTGTATAAGCTACGTTTTCAATTTGGTAGAGTTGCAAACCCCATTTCTCCATCCACATTGGTAAAGTTGCATTTGCCTGCAGATTACATTTGTGTTCGTTGCAGTCTTAAACTTGTTTTGGCAGACGTGATTTGCTTTTTATGTTGACTTGGGATATAGAGCTTTTGACTTGCTTGAATAGAATTGATTTAATGAAATTTTTTATGTCCTTTTTGTATTGTAAGCACATTCAACCATTCCAACCAAGTAACTTGTTCCAACAGGACCATAGTGTGCAAAAACGTAGACATATTGTAGTCCTCCCTCATTCGATCATTTCTTACCTGTGTGTTGCAGTTCATCTCGTCTTAATTATATGTGATATATTTGCAGCACATTCAAGGAGAAAGCACCCAAGGCAATAAAGGAAATAAGGAAGTTCGCTCAAAAAGCAATGGGAACAACAGACGTTAGGGTTGATCCGAAGTGTGCCGAGGAGGGTCCGTGTGAATTGCAAGGAAGAGGAATGATGACGAAGATGCCAAGGAAGAACTTTACTCACTGGTTACTGACTTACTATTGCTGAGGCTCTAGAGGGACTTAAGGGCTTAGGAACTACTATCATTGAGGATGATGAAGACTAAATTTATCTCTTCCAGTTTTGGTTGTTGTTCTTTTTCAACTACTATCATTGAGTGTGTTGTCATTTTGATTTTTAGACTTGACAAATCTTCGTATGTGTTAAAGATAAAATTTGGGCTCTTTACAAATGTATGCTTAAACAATGATATGCTTAGTAATAGTTAGATTTTGTTTATGTCAAAAAAGAAGAGAAACACACACGTGGGAATGTTTGACAGTGCAGTGCACATACTGATCCCCGGATGAATATGAATACCTGCTCTTAGTCATGGACTCGGATTGGGCCACCCGGCCCGGGAACCGGCCCGGCCCGCTACTTTGCGGGCCCGGCCCGACCCGGTGCTTCGGGTCCCAAACCGGTCTTTGACCCGGACCGTAGAGTATAGCAGGGCGGGCTGTAGAAAAGGTGACCCGCCGGGCCGGTCTCGAGCTCGGTGATTCAGCACGCAAAGCGAACACTTGCGACTCTTCCTTCGGTGCCTTACCCCTTGCGATATCTTTGGACTTTTCCTCTGGAATCAAGGTGTGATAGGCCCGGTCTAAAGTCACCGGTGTTGGCTGAGAAAGCAGATTGGAACGAGTAACAACATAATATTCATCATCAACCCCGACCAAGAATTGATGAAACTTTTCCTCCTCTTTCTCTGCGGCAAATTTTTCAGCAATCCCACACTTACATCCTCCGCAAGTGCAGGCATGCAGTGGCTTCAAATGGTCCAGTTCGTCGTAGAAAGACATGAGTTGATTGAAGTACTCATTTATGCTCATTCCCTTGTTCTGCTTGCATCTGACAACATCGGCCATAAGTTGTTGGATGCAAGGACCATTAGCCACACAAAATCGACGTTCCAAGTAATCCCAAAGAGGTTTAGCCTCATCGT